TATATATATATATATATATATATATATATATATATACAACGATGTAAAATTTTCGCCGAGAGTGTCAACCCGGCCTGAAATAAGTTATTAACAGATCCGCCGCAACGCTGGACGACAACGTTATGGGAATGTTTGATGTATTACGTCGTTGCGTAATCTTAAGGAAAGTACGTGATTTTCTCCCGGACAGCGGATCATTTTCTAAAGAAAAAAAATTGAAACTAATTTCAGATGCTAGATTTTTCAAGTTAATTCCAAAACAAAAGATTTCGTTGAATATTCTAGCTGCTTAAAATATTCCAGTGTATGACGATTGTATTTGAACAAGCGGACTTCTTACATCAGATCCTTCTTACATACCGAATATTTCACAAGCGACCCGTTTTATATACGAAAATAACGTGCAAAACCCGGCGCAGTGCACACCGGTAGCGCGATATTTCTAAAGAAGCCGAAAGAGATCGGGACACGCGTTCAAACCCATAAAGTGCAATTTTTATTAGAAGCGTTCGTCGTAAACTTTCGTAACGATCTCCGATACGACTTCCGACCACACGGTAGTTAAATGTTGCTCGAAGATTCCTTAGTTACGGCTTACATAAAGTGTTAAAGTCAGCTGTAGATCGGTGTATCGCGATGCGTTTCTCAACGATCTTTACGATCGTCGGTAGTGCGATATTTCAGGCGAAGGTGCATCGTACAACGAGTATATTGATTTCCAACGAGCGTATTACTGGCCAAGTCGATGTACCGATCCAAAGGGTTCGCCACTTTGAATTCATTCCATTATTCATTCGCGTCAGAAATTCTTTTTTTCAAACGAGATACGACGTACAGAGTTTCGAGCTTCGGAGTCGATTAATCTTTATAGGTTTATCTCGGTATCTACAGCAGCGTAAAATTATGATGCATAATTCGAAATGGTGAATGTGAACGCAAGACATTAATTTACTACGCAAGGTTTATGGATTTCATATCGTGGAAGCGACGTAAGATTCTTCTTCTCGGCACGTAGTTCGACGATTCAATTGATTCGACAGTGCAATAAATTAATCACAATTAATTTTGATTCGAAGATAATGTTTGTCGGCTAGCTTGTATTATTTGTTAAAAATTACGCTTTACCGAGAGTAAGTGTTGAACTTGGACACGTAGAGTCATCGACGAGTTGGAAATAAAAC